AGCACAACAACAGTGATCAGCAATAATGATAAGCCTAATACTCACAATAAAAATAATAAGGTCATATAGATCATAACACAGTCTCGGAGGTAAGAAGTGGATTATCCTTCACCTGAAGTGTTTGTCTTTTCATCCTGAAATGCGAGGCAAATGTTGGATCACAATAATTAGGAACCACAGTTTCCACAAACCCCTTCACTCGATTGGGATGTTCTCTTTTATTCTGGAGGGCAAGGGCAGTGACTGTAACATCGAGCATATTTTGCAGTATTAAACATGTATTTATAACGATTGCATCAGGCTCCGAAAATTCTTCAAAAAGAACACAAAGAATGGCCTTCTCAGCTGCCATAGTTGCAACTCTTGAGTCATCAGAACAGGGTGTTCAACACACCACCGTTTCCGTTTAAAAAACGTTTTGCACCGTTTTTGTCGGCGCTGAACGCAGCCGTTTTACCTTTTGATGTCCAACCCCAATGAGGTCTGCCTGGAAATAAAAGAGCTACGCGTTGGTTTCCCATTCATCTCAATGGCAATTGTTTGAACGGTGTTGTGTAATATTCAGTTCCATTGAAAAACTGAATATTACACAACTTCAGCTTAGCAAAAGAGATTCAATATACAACCAGGCCAATGCAGAAATTGTTTTGCCTCTTTTCTCAACGGTTGAACAGGAAATTGGACTATACCATTGCAGTCAGAATGGGGGGAGAGGGGGTCAGATAAAGCTAACTGTCACTTTAACAAACGTTTTGATGCTTAATTAGTGTATTACTTTAGTTATTGTTAAATATATTGTTAAATATGTAAGTTTGTTAATATTGTGGATATATTATTTTGAGCTTTGTTTTTATTATTAGGTTTCATTATTGAATGTAGTTATTTCTTAACTTCCTTTGTATATGTTCCTTTATTAGGCTAAGAGTTTGCAGTTTGTACAATGCACAAGAAAATTGGCTATATGTGTATTATATGATCTTGAATGGTACAGAAAAAAATTATTTCGGGGAAGAAAAATAGGAGGAAGAATCAGCAGATATCCATCTTGATTACACTACAGTCCACTAGGTGGTGCTATGCACACTGAATGCAAAAGAACGCAGGAGGGGTTTTATTGTACAAAAAGGTTCTCCACAAGATGATACTTGTATTCTCAAATTATGCTGGAGAACATGAACAGTGTCGCAATATTGTAATGCATTACTTTTAAAAGTAACTTTCCCCAACACTGAACATGAATATGAGGTTTTACACAAACTTGTGGAGTTCATGCAGCTCAAGTGATGCTCATTAAAGCAAAAGGGCAAAATACCACATTTTTCATTCAACTTTTAACTTAAATTGTTATGCTGATAATACAGTTTGCAATAGGAGATTCCTTATTCACTCAGACATCCTTGTTACTGTATACTGCTTGAAAATCAATCTCAGAATAACTTCAAGAATGGCCAGTCAACAGCATTTTTCTCCAGACCATCTTGCATTGTGCTAAATGCGCTCACACATATCATGATTACTTATAAACTGAGGCAAACAAAAGACAACTGAAACTGAGAGCATAGAATTTATTTCTGTAGAAAACTATCACACGTCCATACGCACAAGTACAACAACAACAACAACAACAACAAAAAAGAGAACAAATACAAATGAAAGTTGTTCGCATTGGCCTCAGGAATGAAGAAAATACTCGGGTACTTTTGTAGGTGTTTCAGGGATTCGTAAAACATATTTTTGTAACAGATCTTTTGGTCTTAAAACGTTGGTCTTGCAGTTTGCTGTGTTCCCTGTAACACTTACACTAAGGTTTATGGAGTGTTCAGTGGTTTAAGTAACTTCTCAAAAAATAGAGGTCTGTTGGAGTTTAAGACAAGACAGAAGTTAAAAATCAATTCTTAATAAATAAACTAAAATAAATCATTCGGTTGGATCTCTGCATATTCATGGTGCTTACATTCACGGTATGTGCTGCCCAAAAGCCTCACAACATTTATGAGTCTAATATTTGGGTAGAAGGGCACGTCAATAGAAGACTGCATAGACTGATGCACAGTTATTCACTCCTTGTACAGACACTCATCCCATACTGACCAAAACTGACACCATGACACTAAACAGGAAATAAAAGAAGAAAGGAATTTGTCATTCATTCTCTGACATTTCACAGGGTCGTCTGAATTCTTGACCTCGTTCATGTATCCATTTGTTTGATACTGGAGGAAAAGAATAGAAGGAGAGAATAAAATAAGAGAGAAAAGAAGTTTGTTACAGATGTTGTTGGCCAAGCATTTACTTTTGCATACTTGCTTCTCAACTGATTAAGGGAATGATACATAAATGCCATATTTACTACAGACTCACCCCATTTGTTGCCTACTAATACTGGACAGGCAGCATGTCTTGTGCTGTAGTCTCCTTCTCCACTGGCAAAAAGGTTATACCAGAACACTGCTGTACCCTGAAAGATAACAACCAAAGAGAGTGAATAGTAAAATTAATCAACTAGTTTACAGATTATGAAAAGTAATTTATTGTTAGTGGTGATTCACTTTTTTAGGCCATACTGCTGCTCCAACATCTGTGAAGACTGTAGCGCCGCCTGCTGACACATCACTCATCTGCAACATATCAAAAGATAGTACAGCGCATGTATAATTTTACATTACTTTACAATCTGTAGCAAGCATTTTAACAAGCATATTTAGTTATGAAATCAGACATGTGATAGATCATGTTGAAGACCATAAAAAGGTGAAAGTAATAGTATGTTATAGTAATAGCGTGTCTTGACATATAGTGTTATATCAAGTGTGTGCATGTGAAAAACAGGTCACTCACATAAAAGAGCCAAGTGGCAATTCTGTTTCCTGTTCCAAGTTCTTTAAAGGCATCTGGTTCATCTTTCTGTACGTATAAACAGTGTACACAGTGTGAATAACTAGAGACATATGCTTACACTACTGTTCAAAAGTTTGGAGTCTGAAAGATTTTTTTTTTTAGTTTTTGAAAAAAGAAAAAAAAAAAGCTCATGCTCATCAAGGCTGCATTAATTTGATCAAAAACACAGCAAAAACTGTAATATTGTGAAAGATGATTACAATTTAAAATAACTGTTTTCTGTTATGGTTTAAAATGCAATTTATTCCTGTGATGGCAAAGCTGAATTTTCTGCAGTCGTCACATGATCCTTCAAAAATCATTCTAATATGCTGATTTCGTGCTCAAGAAACATTTCTTATGATTATCAGTGTTGAAAACAGTTGTGCTGCTTAATTTTTGTGGAAACTGTGATACATTTCTGTATACTTTGATGTAAAGAAAGTTTAAAAAAAAAACATTTTTTTTTTAAATAGTAATCTTTTATAACATTATAAATGTCTGTTACTTTTAATCAGTTTAATGTAGTGCTGTCAAACGATTAATTGCGATTAATCGCATCCAAAATAAAAGTGTTTGTTTACATAATATGTGTGTGTACTGTGATTATTTATTATGTATATATAAATACACACACATGCATGCATATATTTAAGAAAAATATGTTATGTTTATATTTTAAATATATTTATATATGATATAAATTATATGAATATAAATATATACATGTAAATAGTTTCGAAATATATATTGTATGTGTGTGCATTTATATAGACATAATAAATGTGCACAGTACACACACATATATTATGTAAATGAAAACTTTTATTTTGGATGCGATTAATCGCGATTAATTGTTTGACAGCACAAGTTTAATGTGTCCTTGCGGAATAAAAAAAATGCATTGACGCCAAACCTTTTGAACAGTAGTGTATATAAACAATATAATAATGCTTTGCTGATTTAAAGGTCTGATATGTGTGTCTTTTTTATCTGTGAAAGAAGGACAGGTACTCACTCTTCCAAAGTCAAAATGAGGTTCGTATTGACCGC